AAACTTATCGAGCCTAATAGAAGGTGATGGAATGGAAAGGTCTGGAGGTGTACTGTCGCAACTCGCAATTTTCTCTCTAATAAGAGAGATTTTTCGGCAAAAGTATTCACCAAACTCATTTGCAAGCTGTCGGGGATGGTCGGAGTGCGGGAGAAGATTGTCAGATCGCTCTTTACATAGAGATCTTACCACTTGAAAGAGTCTCTTTGAATCTCCTGCGCAGTGTTCTATCATATCGCTATAGTATGTTGTTTTAGTATTCTTTAGGAGGAGACAGTATTCATTGCACACATTTCGATATGTTTATATGTCAGAAACGTTGTTGGTTTTTCTCATTTTCTTCTCCAGTTTTCGTCGCCTTGCCTTTAGACGCATCAAATCATTATTGAACCATGGCACTCTAGGACGCACCACTTTGACTTTATATTGAACGGGGGCGTGTTTTTCTAAAATAGCGCGTAGTGTGCTATCATAGTTCGCAGCAAGATCCTTATCCATATTTGTAGAAAGATTTTGCCGCCATCATTCATTTTGTCTTTATTATATGTTGTAATATACTCTTGCAGATAGTCAAACATTTCAGATCCATTACATGGTCCCTTTGTTGTTTTTCTCCACTTCTCATAGAGATTATTAACGTCTCTCAAGGATGGGCAGTACTTTCTATCAGCTAAGAGAAGAACGGTAACAGGATCTTTCATTAACTTTGTTTCGTGATAATGGAACGACTCCGACGCAGACATGCCCTGCTCAAAATAAGTTAGAAATTTGTGTCTCGTTGCAGGTAAGATTTGGCTAAAGCTGGTAAGGTGATGACAGTCCACGCTGTGGTTGTGATTCCACCATAATTCCACATTACAGACAATTCCTTCCACTGCTTTGGTACGCACTTTTATTACCATTTTACTCTCACAATCTGTTTTTTTATCGCGGATGTTGGATAGTAAATGGATCTTGTCAATGACCTCGGCATTAGCAGCATGAGTGTCGTGACGCTCCTGCCTACGTTTCATAGCTTCGGCTTTCGCTTCTTTTTGGTTCCTGCTCGGTTCCTTTCTTTTACACTCGCAAATATACCACTGGGCAAATGAAACTCTGACACCTTTTCTCTTATAGCCACCTTGAGAATTGTATTTAATGTTTGACGATGCTGCAAATTCAGAAACCCACGTTTCGATTTCCTTTGGTGTTGACACATTTTTAATGTTAAATTTAACTCTATATTTCTTAGATTCCGTAGTATCGTTGTCCGGAAGTTCTTCATATTCCAAGTATTTATAAACAGCTGTTGGTGGAAGTATGCACTGTACATGCTGGGGTAATACATCAGCATTAGTTTCTTCAGGTATATTATCCTGCATAGCAAGTGAGTAGCAATGATCTTGGAAGTTTGACATTTTCAAAGTGTAGTGATGAGAATCAAGGAATTTATTTTATGTGGCCTTACCATAGCAATGGAAATGACGTCATTTTTGGTTAAAAATATTATACTCTTCAGATAGTAATTTATAGGACTTAATATTATTTGCTTTTCACAATTGTTCAAAAATTCCACCCCAAATCATCAATTTTCCTCTTGCCGAAAACAGCAGGGAGCCACCTTAACTACAACAACAAATCACGTGCCCCTCCAGACCTATAACCTATTTGAATAGTGACACAAAACACCTGTGACGTCACAGTGCAGGGCATAATAACTGTATTTGCACCTGCTTAATACTGGTGGCACCACAGTATATGTACTAACTCTACCTTTCACAGTTGTAGGGCTGTTCCAATTGAACTGGTGCAGAGTATTGGTCCAACAAATCTTGTAAAGGTAATCCCTGGTAAATTGTGGTTAAAAGAACAGATGAGTTTCCAGTTATTGAATAATGTTCAATTGAGTTTTGTTTATTAATGTAATACTGAAATGTGTCCACGTGTGCATTTACCTATTATGCTGTTCAAACCATTTTATCTACCGTAACATTAAGAAAAATTGCTGGTGGTAAATACTCAAGAACTGAGAGGTCATTTCAAAATGCACTAAATTATTTTGTTACTTTTTAACACTAAACACAATCCTTTTCTGAACTCCAAGGTGGCTAATTTACACATCCAAATAATCTCACACTACCTCACAAAGAAATTATGAATGCTTGCATGGATCTAGCACTGACAATGACTTTCTATTTCTTTGGGTATATATATATACCTTTGTTATAGATAATGGAAGCACTGTCTCAGTGGCACAGTTACTTGTAGTATTGTCACACTCGCTGCATAAAATTTCACTCCTGAGTGAGAAGCAAAACGAATTCAGAAATTCAAGGCTACAATATCGTGGTATAAGATCCGTTGATTGCAGATGATGAGCTTTTTCCTCCAAAATCCTCCAAAATGATTGGAAAAATTCGGCTGAACATTGCTGTGAACCTTTGACAAAACCACTCATAATTTGGGGCAAGCAAGAAAGCATTGCTGCTGGTCGAACAACTTGTGGTGCTCCATTGTACAGTTTGAAGACATTCATTGTACTGCATATTATACATTTTGTTCCTGAATGAATATCAAATGAATACCAGATATCATTACAAAATATTACTATTACCATGTATTTTTGTCATTGTCATCTTAAATCTTTTTTACAAATATAATGTAAACAATGTAGATTACCATTACTATCATAATATAGTAATTATGTTATGTGTATTTATTGGTTCAATTTTCTCTGCTCGTATTAGATATGGGGGAGCCTCTCCCACTGTTCGTCAGCAGAGAAGAATTTGTAATTCTTCCAAATCTTTATATTAGAAACTGTTGGAGAGGGGAGATTTTGCCACAAATCAACAATCTTATAATTCTTATCTCACCCCCGCCCCCCCTGGTATTTATATGGTGCTTGCTATGCACCTGCTCGTCAGGGTCTTAGCTAGGATTTTAGGTCTTGGGCGTGTTTCTAATGACCAGGGTGTGCACATTTCAATTACCTTAAATAGCCATATTCACGGTTCTAGTTAAGCTCGCCAACAACAGACAATGCCTATGGTTGTTCTACTGCATGTATATGCTTTGCAACCAAATACAAGGCGAGCATACGCTCATATTGCGCACTGACATTAAAATATTAAGTTATTTCAGCAACTCTTGGGGGTATTTAAAACCATTTTAACACCATGCAGTTCCCGTTATCCATCAAGATATTAAAACTGGATCGCTTTTGCCAATTTCAACAACAACAGTAGATTTTACAAACTTTCTTACGAGGTAAATTGGAAGAAATTCTGTCTGTTGTAAGTACTATAGCAACACCTTATTTTATGAACCTACACGGCCTTATATAAATAGTGAAGCCGCGTTCATTTTATCTAGCCGTGTTTTTCCACTTTTGGCCGCGATAACACGGCCAACACGGCCCTCTAGCTAAGACCCTGCTGCTCGTTAAGGCCAAACCACCCTATTTTGTTATTTTTGTCGATGTTACTCATACAGGTTAGAAGCGCAGGATCAAAAATTTCTACTGTAATTTTCTGGGATATTTTTTTTATTCTAAATATAAATAATATAAAATGAAATGTTAATACAAATAATAAAATATTGATTATAAATAATAATTTGTCAGTGGTTACTTTAATAATTGGTTTCCCCATCATGTATATAGGATTTGGGGAAGTACAGACTATACGTTGTGGCTCAATATTAGGCCCATTATTATTTTTATTATACATTAATGATTTACCCAACGCTGCGAGAATGGCAGAGACTTTGCTTTTTGCAGATGACACTGGCATTTTTTATTCTCACTCGGATCCAAAACATTTCATTTCTGTGTTAAATACGGAATTAACTGAAATTGATAACTGGGTGAAATCCAATAAACTTTCGGTTAACATAAAGAAAACAAGTTATATTATTTTTAAATCAAGGCGAAAGAAAATCAGTGTCAATTTACCAGCTATTGTTTTCGACAATCAACATCTAAAACAAGAACAAGTTATTAAATTCTTGGGAATTTACATAGATGAAAATCTCGCATGGAAACCGCATATAAACTATGTGTGTAAAAAAATATCGAAATCTATTGGAATAATTTATAGATCTCGCTTTGAATAATTTATAGATCTTCGGGGGCATGCCCCCCTCCCCTGGAAAATTTTTAAATTTGGAGTCTCTGAAATGCCATTTCCTGCATTTTGGGAGAAGATTAACAGAATTCTAAAGGTACAAAAATGTCATTAAAAAATCTCAAAAGTAACACTTTTTGGACATCTGCTTGCAATTATAAGTTATCATAAGTTTCATTTATTTCGTTAAAAATCATTCTAAATTTAAATATTAATGAGTTATAGCTTGCGCTTATGTGCTTTGTTGTATTCATAAGTAGCAGATTTAGCTGCTTTTAAGACGGACACTGGAGGCGTGAAAGTCTTAGCATTCAAATTGTTGATGAAATTGTTCCTTTAACATGAAGGCTTGGACGCTCTGCACGTTTGTTCTTTCCAGTCGTGCTAAAAACTCGCTCTTCTTCTGCATTTGAGTGAGGAAGGCACAGTACAGTTAAAGCAACTCGCGCTAATTGATAAGATTATAGTTATTTTACATAAAGCGTCGGTCTGGGGAAATCCCTCAAGTGTTAATTTACGAATTTGCGCAATAGTCCAACTTACGCAATACTATACGTTACACAGCGACTGCTCGAAAAATAGTTTATCTTATAGCTATTGATTCAGCTAAATATAAGGGATATTTGCTTGCGAAGAGAAGCGTTGTGAACAAAAGTTGGATCGCTTCATATTTTTTTCGCTTTTGCGTGAGAAAATAGTGTCTATGCGTGTGAGCGTGAGAAATATGTCAAATGCGTGTGTCTCACGCAAAATGCGTGAGAGTTGGAAGGATGGGAAATTGCACACGTATTCAGGCCACTATTTGTTGTATATTAGTTTCTCATCCGGAGCTTCACCTAAAGTTGATGCGGGCGGGCGGGCCATTACCATTATGCCATTATTTGCCGGGTTTCCCCTCTCCGTAAAATTTACCTTTGAAAAAGTGCGCATTAAGCATTTATATAGTGCGTACCGGAAAATACAGGAATCGTTGTATGTTTTATACAGCTGCAACTTTCTGAATGTTTCCATACCCTGTAATTCAGCATTGCAAAACAGCACTAAATTCGTAAGTGCAACTGAAACCATGTTTTCATATTAAAAACATGGCCGCTCCACATATGAAATAATTTTGTAGCCAAGTCGTCTCGAGTTTGCATATTTGATAAGCATGTACGTAATTATAATGCGGGAGAAACTGGCAGTTTTGGTATGAAATTTCGTATTTTAACCATAACATTTGGTTTGGGAACATTTCTAATTGTCTTTCTTTCAAATTTCGCTTTGAAGACATTACAAAATTTATAATAATGGTCAAAAATTGCAATAAGGCCATGGGAATGAAAGTCATAGATTTGCGTCCACCGCCCGCATGCCTCAAAAGCTACCGCCTAAAATTTTCATTATTTACAAAAAAATTCATTATTTTCACAAATAAAGCAAAACTCAATAAAATTAGCAATAAAATTGTGTATTGATTACAATAAAATGAACATATTGTAGTGTGTTTGTCCTCAGTATCCAGATTCTATGAAATTCCAAATTATATTCACCGAAATGGCGAAATTGGCACACAGATCTTCAGTACTGCAACTGCGTGAGCTCGAGATATATGTAATTCTGTGGCGTAAACGGTAATTCGTGTTTTGATCTCTGTATTTACCACCCAAAAGGATGGTAAAAAAATAATGAATAATGAAAAAAACCCGCATGTTTTTTCAAAATTATCCGGACGCAAATCTATGACTTTCATTCCCATGGCCTAATGGCAATAATGGCGAACAAGACCATTTTCTTAAAACGCATGCGGGCGGGGATGAGAAACTAATATACAACAAATGGTGGCCTAACCAAGAAGAAATAAAAGGTACAGAAACTTACTTACCTTCTTTGTTCGCCGTGCATCGTTTCCTATTGTGCAGCAATTGATCCAGGCCTTCAACGCAACTCTTTGTTGAGAGAATAGACTGCAATACACAGTTAACGAAGCATGTATTCCCCGTGTTTACAAAGCCTTTTAATACATAACCTAATACCATGATGAACTTTGATTGAAGCTGGTAAAATGCCGAATTTGAATAAATAATACGCACAATTTCTCAGGTTCAAGATATAGTGATAGCACACTTTATTATTATCAATTTAGTGCGGGAAAATTTCAATATTTCCCGCTAAAAGCTAATAAACTGTATAATGGACTTTTAAGGACTTATTAGTATAAGTACTTGAATAACCCAAAATGACCCAATAAAACCAAACATGTACCTTGACTGGAAGACGCGGTTACAAAGCTCCCAACGAAAGTGATCCCAAAAAAAATTTCTGCCCCCCGGCAATATGGCAATCTCGTTCCCCGAGCCTGCGATCCTTGGGAAGGAAACGAAGGCTCTGGGATAATCCGAATCAGACATACAGAAAACTGTATGTCGACCGAACTGCGCATGCGTTGGCAAAAGCAAAATAAATTGTTTGAAATATTTTATTGTTTCGTCTATAAAATGATTATTTTTTCGGGGTTTTGGTGGAAATGTTGATGTTCTTCATAGTGGGATACAAAAGGTGTGTTAGCGACTGAATAAGGAAAATATTGCGTGTGAAACAGGGTCAGTATAGAGCCGGCAGGAGCCGCGAAGAGTGCTGTTGTCGAAGAAAAATGTCACAATTAATTGTAATCTTGTCCATTCACCTCTGTGTCAGTTTGAAAAAGCTTTAAATGTAGAGACATTTGTGGTTTCTCCAGCATAATTTAGCCGTTTAACGCTATTATGTTTCTAATGGTTGAAAGAGCGCGTGGAAAGGGCAATTTTCAAAAACAAAAACAATCGATGTACTGTGTGTTAATTGCTACGTACTGTAGTATAAAAATACTTGAAGAGAGTCTCAATTCTAATATTAAGTCGGTTATAAACCTTGATAAATATTAAAGTTTTCAGAAGATTTGTATATCAGAGGAATATTAAAAGGAATTTAGGCTTATAAAACATATCATTAAAAATATGAATATAGTGAATTCCATGTTTATATTGTGTTATCATCTCTAGAAATTAACAGTTTATAAACCAAATCCTTGTTATATTTTTTAACTGCCCTTATAGCTTTCCTTATATGTTTTAATATTTGCCAGCAGTTTAGTAGGTTAGGGATGCAACAGCACTTTCAAATTATTGAATTATAACCAAATTTTGTGTCTGGATTTACAGTTTGTAATGATAGAGTTGGAGCAAGTTAAGCTGCAATGTGCCTCAGTTTGCCCTACTTTGTTATTTTAAGCTGTTTAACACCAGAATTTTTTCTCGTCAAGGGGAAAGTATTGGACTTTGTATTTGAATGGATTAAGCAGTCCATCTGCATGTCTACCTATCTTTGGTTAATTATCTCATTAGATCATTAAGCATGCACAATGCTCTTTAGTGCACCCTATTTTGTTATTTCACTGTACTTCTGGACAATATTTCTCATCAATGGCCGGAAATGTACTTGACTTCATGTTGATTACTGCCATTAATTAATTAACTACTGTACTAAATAGGACATTCAAGGTTGGAGATATAATAGCAATAGAGGTTGCTATCATTGTAGCATTCAGGGGCGTCACTAGCCCAAATTGTCAGGCATTTTATTGTATTGAAATCAGGAAATTGTTTTCGTGGCCAGCATGATTTGAATTGGATAGGAATGGAAAAAACTGAAATATATATGAGTTATTGTTGCCCCTCCCCTTCTCAGAGTAGGTATGTGTTGTTTTATAGTTGAATAACAAGTTTTGATATTACAATCAAACTGACAGGATAGTTGTCATGACCATGGTAATAAAAATATTTCTATGGCTCGGCATTTATATTGGGCAATTTTTTATCATTTGTCACAAAATTATACCTGCACCCTAGGTGGTTCCCTGCAGGGGGTCATAACCAGGGGAAAGCTGATAAAAATGAACTCTGGTATTGGTGGCTGATCACTATCATTTAATATTTTTGTGAATAGAAAAAAAAGTATATGAATTTATTAAAAATATTTATATGGTCTCTCAATCTGGAATTCATACTTTGTAACATTTGGATCAAAAGGTTTATGATGTTTTCTTGGACAGAATCCAATTAATACAACCTCGTACAGAGCTTCTTTGAATTACTGTGTGGACAAGATTAACGAAGGGATTGCCAATTTGGCATATTGTACTACTCAATAAATTAAAATCATTAAATACTTTATGCCAGGGATGGATCCAGCATGATCTGGTAGGGGGAGGGGGTGCTCTGCCAGCTGTGGTGCCGAGTTGTGTCGGTCATGTGTGCTGCCCGCCCATCAACTTGCTTCACTACTGCAAACCCCCCTCTGGCCAGGGCACCCCCGCTGCACCCCCCCCAGCAAATCCATCCCTGCTTTCTGCTACAATTAGCTGTAATATTATACTGTATATTATTGTGTTTCATATGACGTCATAAATTTGACGGGGTGTCAATTCTAAATCGAGACACAGTCATCATAGTGAATTAATTTTTCACTGTATGTGTTGGCCTTGTGTTTGGTGGCAAATACATGCAATTTCATATCATTTGCTCACTCCAGTACAGCATAAGCATCAATACATTTTAGGTTAACCCCCCATCAGAACGTGCAAAATGCCATAGTGAAACCCAAGGATTCATTATATGTATTAGGTGTATGCAGACTGGAATACAAGTTGATATCACTGCCTGTGAAATTGTGGTTTATTTAGAGAATAAAGGTTTTTTGAACTCTTCTATAAATAAATTATAACAGCAAAAGATTCATATGCACCCATATAGGGAAGGGTTACATGCTACAAGTTAAAATGAGTATTACATACTCCTGCACTTGAAAAGTTTACAGTACAGTATATACATTAAATAATAAAATATATAACAGTAAATCCAAAGATTGGATGTATTGAAACTAGTTATTAGCTAGTTCTTCGCAATTAGATAACACAAAGACAAATTAATAAAGTTATTAACCATTTCTGACACAAATAGTACTTGCAAAATATAGCACATATTTGATATTATAGTCAAATAGAACAGTTTACTGACAGTACTGTATACTATGTATAGACTAAAACTACAGAAAACCTGTACAACACAAATATGAGTAATGTTTTCCCGCTCCATTTAACTGTTGTGATATTATACGCATTAGGTATACGTTTCTTTGCATTTCCTTTGTAGTATTAGTATATAGCACAGCTCTGAAAAACCAAAACAATATTCGTACACTCCTAAACGGCCGCCATGTTGTATATAAAAATATACGGTTAAAAATTAATTTTTGCAAAATTGCAACATTCCATTGTATACCAGCAACCAATCATATTAATTTCTGACATAGATTATCCCAGAGCCTTCGTTTCCTTCCCAAGGATCGCAGGCTCGGGGAACGAGATTGCTGAAGCGCTTATTGAAATATCGCGGACGGTGGTAAAAGCTTTTGGCGGGAAAAATTAAAATCTTGAAAAATGTGTCGAAAAACTTTTTTGTAAAATTTAAAACAGGCCAAAACAGGCTTAAATTTTGAAAGAATTTGGGATTGTTATTATTCAAACTAGCTTGGTGGGAAATCTTACCATTATGCTAAGCTTGTTGTTACTCCAGAATGCGTCGAATAACGGTATATTTTGAAGTGAAATATCATAAAAACATGGTTGTTGTGTCGTATTATAAAGTTTAGCAAGGTACAAAATATTAATATTGTAATTATTTTTCTTAATTTTTGATATATTTATGCATAATATTTATTCTGGTTTTAGTGGTTTATAAGCTCTAACGAATATTTATGAATTGAACTGTCTATTTTTCTTCTCAATTTTATGATATTTTAATATAAATAGGTTACTCCAGATGTCAACTCAGCGTTTGGGTGACGAACCATTCGCTTCAGACGAAGACCTATTCTTTCATAAACTTTTTGCTGAAGACGAATTATCTCAAAGAAAAGCATCAAAAACTACGTCTATAATGTATGTTTAAAGGAGTGGTCATTATTTATGGGGGGGATGGAAGGGGGGGGGCAAATGAAGTTTTACCCTTATAAATAGGTGGGAGGGTCAAAAAAGTTTTTGAACTTAAATACCATGTCTAGAGTTCTGATTTCTATAAGCAAGCAAATAGCAAGAAAGAAGACTCTGAAAATGCTATTTCCAATGATCTAGAGACTCAAAATTTCCCTGCTCGGCGCCAACCATGGTAGTGCCTCACGATCGTGGGAGTCGGGCCCACTAAGTTTAACAAGCTTTAGTGACCCAGTTGTGGTATTTACATAAACATACCATGCAAGTACACTTATTAGTGATCAGATTCGGTCTATCAACGCACAATGTAACACTGTATATCCAAAAACCTGTTTCAGAAAATGCTCACATTTCACTAGTCTAGGGGTGAAAAAATACAAAACATTTTCTGGAGGAGAATACCCCCAGACCCCCCTACTAGTACATACGATACCACACCAAACTTTTTGTCACCAACAACCATCTGTCATCTCTCCACACTCAATATAGTATGGTCCCTTTTTGTAGATGCCCACCCTCCAGACAAGTCCTTAAAAAAAACCCTGTGTTCAAATCATTTCGCTATATGAAGACGGGTCATGGGTTAGAGTTATGGTAGGACAAATGTTGCATTGCAAAGTAGTAACACATAATATATATATTTTTAACCATATATGGTTGAATCATATTCACCAGGGTAAAACATCATGAGCTAGATTAAATGCAACGCACACCTGTTTCATTGCTGTTTATTTTTTAATCCACACTGGGGGAGTCAGAAAAGTTTCTACTTTTACGAGGGGGGAGGCACAAAAAGTTTTCCTTCAGTCTGGGAGGGGGGGGTCAAAAAAGTTTTCAATCCTTATTTTCCCCATTTCCCAACCCCCCTCCCCATAAATAATGACCACCCCCTTAATTGGATTTACTCATTCCTTGTTTGTAAAAAGAAAGAAAAAATTGTGGGCTAATGGATGTTCATGCAATTATATTATACTGTATTACAATCTATAGCAGTGAGACCAGTGGTTTGTTTTGGTTTTGGTGAGATAGTCTAGGCCGTCTCAAAAGTCTCATGTAAACCATACACAGAGTAAACTTGGTCTCGGCAAAGCAAGCTAGCTAGCATGGGTACCTGGTCTGGCTTGTCTCTATATAAACAGCCCTAAGTATTCAACCCTTCACCACAGAATAAAGACACACAGAAGGTCGACTCAGAGCATAACCGCTGCCACGCCATGATTCGTTATCAAAATGATAATGCTGTGGTCCTAAGCCAGTCCACTTAAGAGAGGCATTTACCCCCTCCCCCCCTGGACATTCACAATTTTTAATATTATCATGGGAGAAAAGGCTGGTAATCGTTCCATGTTTCGCGGACCAATATAGTAAACGTTATGTAATGGTATTATACACAGCCAGAAATCTCACAGGCCTGTCGCAAGCTGTTGATTTTACCGGCTTGCGGCAAGTTGTCAACAAGTCGCGACAGGTCTGTTGGTTTCGTCAGGCGGTAACAGGCTTGCGGTAACAGGTCTGTCGCAAACTGTTGACAACAGAGCCGTAGCGACTTGTTGAAACAACCCGCTACAAACATGTTACTAACAAGAGATAACAGGTCTGATAGAACAACTTGCAGCAAGTCTGTTGAAATCAACAGGTCTGTTCCAACCTGTTCCAACCATTGAACTAAAATATATGGAACGCTACCTGCAGCCGGAAGTTTGAAGCCGCGATTTCCGGTTAGAACCAAGTCTTTCCTCGCGATAAATACGCGCGGCCAAAACACAAGCATTTAATTAATTAAATTTGATTTTATAAATTTTTTTAAAAAATATCCTTGAAAATGCAATCATGTCGCTGCCGAAAGATGTTTTTTATTGAATAAACTTTGTCTTTTTTAATGAAATTCATGAAAACTATGCCTAGTTTTTATTTAAAATTTAC